TATATATATATATATATATATATATATATATATATTTGAAAAAAAATTATCAAACCTGATTGGCTTTTTGTTTTCATTTCCTTGAGATGATGACAATAATTATACTTGTTATAGTATATCTGTATTAGGCTTATCATATTTTAAATACTACATTCTTTATCTAATCCCTTAGAGATTTTCAAGAATTATAAGAGGATTTCATTCTTGAAAATCCCTTGAGGACTAGATATAGACTGTAGTGTTTAAAAATGTAATACGTCTAATAATGTCTCATGGCAAGTATAATCATGCTTTGCTAGCTTGTAAAAGGCATTCAAGCCCTAACCATTGATGATGAAAATAGTTTAACTAAAGAATTTTACATCAGACAAGATTATAAAAATGTTAGAACAGAAAACCCAGAATATGAAACAACACATGTAGATTGTATTTATTTCAGTACACCAGAACATAAGATAATTTTACAAATACTGAGATGTTACTTGTCCAGTACTTACTCTGTATGTGTAGAATACTTACCAGAATACTGACTACATCAGGAGGCAATTTTCCTAGTACACTGATCCCATTTACTTCATGAACTTCATCCCCAACATGTATCAAACCTAGACAACAGTTCATTAACAAAGAAATTATGAATTTTTAAAATACATGGGCTGTTGCTAAAACACACATGCTTTTCCAAACCTACTATACACAAATATAGAAATGCAACATTTCAACTCTCTAGCTAGGTCATCCTCAGATATAAGAAAATAACTAAACAGAAAAATGGTGGATGAAATTGTTTGTAATTTGACAAGAACTTTCGAAAAGTATGTAGTTTCAGAAAAATAAAAAGTATTTCATGTTGATTTTTTTCTACTATTTCTAATAAAAAATTTTTATTTATTGTAGTTATTTGCATTCAGACACTTAATAGTTCACCTGAAAGACGATTTTCATGTTAAGTATAAAAATACTTTTTGCATCTTACAGTTTTCACATTTCACTTGCATAATCTCTAGAGCCTTCTAAATGAATATCAAAATTTTTTAATGTAAATGTTTATATTTTATTTGCCATTTTCTATACCATATCACTAATTCTAGCTATTATCATAAACATTCAGTGCAATGAAATGTTAAGATTAAGAAATTTAAATATATACAAACCTTTTATCTCTTTTGTTTAATAATTTTAAAATATCTTCTTTGGGTCATATGCATAATTTCAAGTCTTTACATTTTCACAGATTTATTTTTAATGTTTTATTTTCCTTTCCAATCCTATATCTTTTATTATTTTTGTCACCATGCTTTAAAGAGTGTCCAATATAACGTTATCAATGGTTTAGCCTTTGACAAGACATGGTTTGCACTTGCCTTTTTAGGAAAAACTTTTTGAGCAAGGTAAAGCTTAGAATAATATTTAAAAATTCATTAAACCTTTCAAATATGAATTTTAAAACACAAATAATACATAATTAACTAAAACATAAAGGACGTAAATACAATTTAACTGTCTATCAAACTAGAAAAGCCTAGAGAAAACTAATGCTTAAGAACAGAATTTGAGCATGGGATCTATCAAGGGGAGAAAAAAATAATCTCCTTCATGGAATGTTAGTCCATTGTGATATGAAACTTAAATTTAGAACTCGACCTTGTATGGGTAGAAGCTCGTCTAGACTGTTGTTGAGGTACTATGACTAATCTTAATAGAAACAGAAGCCAAAGCTCAGATATTTTAACTGAACACATCACATGACAACCAAACTGAAAATTTAATTGTTTCATAGGTTTCCTCTGAAATAAAGGAGTAATAACTTGGGTAATACAACACTTTGAATTATAACGTATTTGATAATGCTAGTTTCATTAAGATACATTGATAGTAAAGTGGTTTAATTAAGTTTTGAATGTAACTCAGTAACAATTTTTGTGACATGTGCACAAAGGAATTTAGAGTGTACCAGATGTCAATGTGTTGAACTGTGATATATATATATATATATATATATATGTACATGTATGTGTGTGTGTGTGTGTGTGTGTGTGTGTGTGTGTGTGTGTGTGTGTTTATGTGCCAATGATGACAATGATAAATTAGCTTTAAAAACAGCCAAAAAACCAAATGTTTTCCTGATGCTCCTCAAACTCACACACCTAAACTCTAGTTGTGCCCTCACAGGATTTGTCCCACAGTTTGTGAAACACTGATGTATTGCACCTGCTTCTTTGCAAATGAAAAAAAAATTAAAACTAACAAAAAATATACATTAAAGCTATCGTTCAAAAATAATAATAAAAAAAAACTAGAAAAGCAACTTACCACTTCTATCAGCTGCCCCACCATGCATAATGCGTGCTATAACAATAGCTCCAGTTGCCTCATTGTACTTTATAGTTGCCCCCTGAAAAGTTTTAATAGAATCATTTGAAAAACAAAACAAAACGAGTTTATACAAAATAAAAAGAACAATGATATTTTATTAAGTAACATATTTACAACATCCTGATAGCCACATGCAGACTCAGATTTGTGTATGACTTATGATAATCTGAAACAGACCTTTAGCTTACCTTCGAGGAAGTTAATTAACCTAATCCAAGAAAACCTAAGAGGTATGAAGAGTCACTAAATCAGGAAGAAGTTAACTAACCCAATCCCTGGAACACACAACAGATACAACCAGTCAATTAACCTAGAAGAAGTTAACTAACCCAATCCCTGAAACACACAACAGATACAACCAGTCACTTAATCAGGAAGAAGTTAACTAACCCAATCCCTGGAACACACAACAGATACAACCAGTCAATTAATAAGGAAGAAGTTAACTAACCCAATCCCTGGAACACACAACAGATACAACCAGTCACTTAATCAGGAAGAAGTTAACTAACCCAATCCCTGGAACACACAACAGATACAACCAGTCACTTAATCAGGAAGAAGTTAACTAACCCAATCCCTGGAACACACAACAGATACAACCAGTCAATTAATAAGGAAGAAGTTAACTAACCCAATCCCTGGAACACACAACAGATACAACCAGTCACTTAATCAGGAAGAAGTTAATTACCCCAATCCCTAGAACACACAACAGATACAGTCAGTCACTTAATCAGGAAGAAGTTAACTAACCCAATTCCTGAAATGCTCAACAGATACAACCAATCAATCACCCAAAAAGAAGTTAATAAAAACCCAACCCCAGGAAAGAATTAGTGAATGACATCCTTGAATTCCAATATTTTCTAATAGCCTACATGTTTTTAGAAAACCATAACCAATGAAATTTATATAACTGTCTTTAAATAGTTACAGTATGAGTGTGATTTTGCACAGTATCTTTTATTTTTAGACTTACCAAAGGCTCATTACTTTTCACCAATTGAACAATTTTTACAGTATCCTCATCTTCATCAACTTCTGTAGGAACATCAGGTAGAACAGGAACAAATTCTTTTCTTGCTATCTGATCATGTGTTTGAAGAAGTCCCTAGCATAGACACACCAATATTTTTCATTATCTGGTTAAATGAATGTATAATTATGCTATCAACCCTACATGCACACATGGGAGGTCAAAATTCACATTATAATATTTTACAGAGTTACATTAAAAATTTAATTAAACTTTATTATTAATGTATGTCAATAAACTTGCCATCAAAATGTAGTTTATAATTCAATTTTTATCATTATATAAGTTTTAATTTCAAAACTTCCAAGAGAAATATTTAATTATATTCCATATCTTAATTTCTCTATCATGTAACACTTCTTTCCTCCAAATGGTCCATTTTAGACATTCTTGTCACACCTATATGATCTTCTGAGTTTGGCATAAATTACACACTTATAGTAGATGTATTGCTAAGACAAAGATAATTTACAGCTTCCAATCTTCTTACTTTCTAACATATCTAATCTTTCCAAATATGTCAATAATTCACTCTGAGTTATTTTAATTTACTAAATTTCTCACTAGGCTAGCTTGTTCTGAGGACAGTTTCTGAATTATATGATCTACAGTTTTATTGCTGCTACTGCTAAGATCACATCAATCAGCTAACATAATTACTGTAACCCACTTATAGTTTACATAGAAAGCCAGTTCAATTAAAATAGCCCACTTACAGTTTAGTTACAAAGCCAGTTAAATTACTATAACCCACTTACAGTTCAGTTAGAAAACCAGTTCAATTACAATAACCCACTTACAGTTTAGTTACAAAGCCAGTTAAATTACTATAACCCACTTACAGTTTAGTTAGAAAGCCAGTTCAATTACAATAACCACTTACAGTTTAGTTAGAAAGCCAGTTAAATTACTATAACCCACTAACAGTTTAGTTAGAAAGCCAGTTAAATTACTATAACCCACTTACAGTTTAGTTAGAAAGCCAGTTAAATTACTAGAACCCACTTACAGTTTAGTTAGAAAGCCAGCTAAATTACTATAACCCACTTACAGTTTAGTTAGAAAGCTTACATCATATGTTTAGGACATTAATTCATTTTGTGTGTTAATATTTTTTGTTTTAAATTGCAAATTGAAATTTAATAAAGATTTACATACTACAAAGAACCCTAGCAAAAAGAGGATTAAGTTTCAATGATACAATGCAAGAGTCTATACATAAGTACTGCTTTTCTTCTTTGTTATATGGTATTGTTATAAATTAAACTAAAATGTAAAAAATTGAAACTTAAGTTAAGTGAGAAATAATAAATGGAAAACATTTTTTCCATGAGGTGTGAGCATGAGCTGCTTGTGCATTATGTAATTTGATACTTTGTTTACTGTAACTTTGGTAATACTCTCTACAGGTGATTTATTGCTTTGTTATGATGGTTTTGTAATTCGACTTAGCTGAAAGAATGACAAAATTAAATGAACGCATCTGTGAGAAGGTTAGAGACCTAATGCTGTTAAGACAGATAATTGTAATTGTCAGTTACAATCTGCAGTCATTTAAAAAAAAATGTACTTTTATTTTAATTCATATTTTTAAACTTTTGTTACAGATGATTTTCCTACAGTTAGTGTTAGAGTACAGAAAATAAAAGAAAAGGTTTACTATATAATTTTACAAAAAAAAATTTTGGTTATTCATTTAGGAGGTTCTAGAGGTTATGCAAAATATGGAAAATGTAGGATGAAAAACGTTTTTATTGTTAACATGAATATCACTTTAGGCTTAGACTAGTCAGAGTCAGACTGACTTCATAAATTCACAGATAAAGCTTTAGTAAAAATACTTTATTAAAAATCTGATTTTTTGTCCACAACAGACTATTCATGTTTACTAAAAACTTGACAAAAATTGTGAAGATAAACATTGTAAACATTACTTCTCAAATACAAGGTCAGTTCAATGGATGGACCCCATACACTTTGGGTTAAAGCTAATTCAAGAGTAACAAGTTTAACAACAAATGAACATTGCTTACCATAGAGCATGAGTTTCAAGTATCAGCTGCCAATCAAATCATACTAATTAGAATGAAATTAATTATACATTTTCTGTGTTGCTGCTATTGATTGTACAACACAATGCATTATCATCATGCAATTAAACAACAAAAACACAAAAACAGTTAACTGTCATAATAAAGGAAAAATATATTCCACCACTTAAAGCATGTTGTTTCAGGCAATATTTAAATTCCCTGTAAGAGTGAGGCAGCCCTGATCAAAACAACATATTAGTCTCTATATATCACAGGTCTATAGGGATGATCCAGTCCTGATCAATACAAGATATCAGTCTATATATATCAGAGGTATGTAAGGGTGAACCAGCCATGGTCAATAAAACATATCGGTCTCTATATATCACAGAGGTCTGTAGAAGTGAGCCAGCCATGGTCAATAAAACATATCGGTCCCTATATATATATATATCACAGAGGTCTGTAGGGTTGAGCCAGCCATGGTCAATAAAACATATCGGTCTCTATATATCACAGAGGTCTGTAGAAGTGAGCCAGCCATGGTCAATAAAACATATCGGTCCCTATATATCACAGAGGTCTGTAGGGTTGAGCCAGCCATGGTCAAAAAAACATATCAATCTAAATATATCATAGAGGTATGTTAGGGTGAACCAACCCTGGTCAATAAAACATGCCAGTCTCTATAGGGATGAGCCAGCCCTGATCAATACAAGATATCGGTCTCTATATATCATAGAGGTATGTTAGGGTGAACCAACCCTGGTCAATAAAACATGCCAGTCTCTATAGGGATGAGCCAGCCCTGATCAATACAAGATATCGGTCTCTATATATCATAGAGGTATGTTAGGGTGAACCAACCCTGGTCAATAAAACATGCCAGTCTCTATAGGGATGAGCCAGCCCTGATCAATACAAGATATCGGTCTCTATATATCATAGAGGTCTATAGGGATGAGCCAGCCCTGGTCAATACAACATACCAGTCTCTATATATATATATATTATAGAGGTATGCAGGGATGAGCCAGCCCTGGTCAGTACAACATACCAGTCTCTATATATATTCTACATTTTTATTCTTTAACTAAAACACTAACACCTAATTTCTGACACACAAATTAAATACGTTTTACAAATAAAAAAATTGTAAAACACCACTGAAAGCTTCTGACACATCAGGAAGAAATTTAAATTTATATTAAATGATATAAATGATAATAACCCACAAAGGTAACTAAGTTTATATTATTATTATTTCTTAACCCTTTCAGGTGTTGAGTGCACACCTGCAAATCAAATTTCAAAATTTAAGTAACAATAATTATATTTCAACAATTTTTAATATAAAAAAAACATTTTAGAATTTATTGAAAGGTTCATTTGGTATTATTTGCTTGTATACAAAGCATTTATTCATGTTTTGAATTTTTCTGCCCATCCAAAAGCACAAGTTAAGATTTGAAAAGAAACTATCATCCCTTAAGCATATGTTCATGTGCTTTACCTTCTCTTTCATTAATTTCATTACTATAGCCTTTCATTCCACCCTTTTATGTCACATCCTGTGATTTGAACAGCTACTAATGAAGTTCAGATACAAAAATAGCTACAGACAAGCTATAAATACCATCACAAAGAGCAGGTTATAAATAATTCATATCACTATAGAGTACATAAATTGAGCAGTAATTTATGATTTCATGGGAAAATGACTAAAACAAGCACCTGCACTGCAACAGTGAACAAAAGAACATAATAGTAAGTTTAGAAGACCTGGGAACAAACTAAAAAACTGGGGAATTTTTTCAATTTCATTAAATATTCTTGTCATTCCTGAAAACATTTTAATGTTACATTATATCTGTTTGAAAGTTACAAAAAATTTCTTCTATAAAAAGACATCATGTAAGCATATTTTGGTTCAATGAGTTTAGGCAATGGGAAAATATTCCAAAGAATGAAATGCAAATCTTATTTTTTAAGATTTTTATTTATTCTAACATAGTCAAACAAGGAAAAGGTCAGGCTCTTGGTCATTGATAAATATTTTTTAATTTTTGTGGTGTTTTTTTTGTTATACAGCCAGTAGTGGTAACTACTAAAATCAGTAAAATAAATATTATTGAACACCAATAAAGTTGAAACTGATTGGAAATAAAAATTTAAACTTTCTGATGAATAATAAAACAAAATTGAAATTATAAGATAAAAGGATGCCTTACATAACATTTCTTTTAGAAAACCAATCAAATTTTATGAAGCTTTTAAGCAGAAGAAAAGTCTATTTAGTAAATTAGTTCTAAGTTTCATGTTATTTGGTTATTTCAACTATGAAATAGAAAGAAACAATGGTACTGAAACTTTTTCAGTACAAAAAGGATTATAGAAAATCTAAACTTTACATGTTCTTATGAAATTTTAGTTAAAATACTAATATTTCATGTATAATGCAAACAACAACAAAGATTTAAATTTTTTCTTTTTATGACATGAAACGAAGAAACTTGATGTTCACATGTAATTTCCATGTAATAATAATGCATTCTCTATTATAAGTAAATCCTTTGAGACTCCTGATAAACAATATATTATTTCACCAAACAGCAACAAATAAACCAGAAATTAGCTTAATTACATTTCATCAACTATGCATTACAATAAGCTTTCTGTCATTATAAAATAAAAATGACACCATTACCTACTTGGGCTTTTACGGATCACGTCACATTACCCTCAAGTGGCATAAGCATTTGCATGAGGTATCATAAAGCCCTTTAAATTATTCTAAAGATGCATAAATTAAACAATAAACACCTAAGACTTCCAACAACAAACCCTACTCTAGTAATACAAACCTTCACATGAGGATCTCGCAACAACTGACAAAGCTCTTGCTGATCTTTTGAAACTCCTTTTCTCAGCTCTTCAACTATCTAAACACAAATTCAGAAATGCTATGTAACTGAAAAATTTAAAATTCTGGTATTAAGAACAAACTGTTATATTCACATATTTTAGTACCTATACCTGTATGAGAAAATATAATAATGAAAACAAAAACTTAGTATTTGCCTTAAAAGTAATGGCTTTTGTTTTCTAAAGAAGGTTAATTTGCAGCTATACTCGATATGATATTTCATATTATTACACATGAAATGCAAAATCTCTTTAAACATTTTATAAGTTCAATGCATTTAATATTCTGTGAACAACACTATATAAACAAGAAGGAATCCTCAATAGCTGTGCCTATAATTAGATCTCAAATCGGTCAAGAGATGGAGCTACGAGCTAAAAGTTTGTACTTGAAAAAAAAACTCAGTCATTCTATGAGCCACTATGCTGCAGTTAAAAATTCAGTAATAAAAGTTTAGGATATATTTAGCTAGCTGTATATGTAAGCACACTTGTAATATTGTCTTGAATAACTTCAAAGCTTTGTTATCAAAGTCAGATACAGGGTTAAGTTAGCAGTTTCACACCTACATAACACAAATACATTTATTTTGATGGTCTAGCTATAAATATTACCTGGTTTCCTAAGAGAGAAGCATTTTGACTAGATGGCTTCCATCCTTTTCCTTTATGATTGGCTACTCGATTGTACACCTGGTTTAAATAAAACTAATGAGCCAAAATATTTTCTCCTTGAAGCTACTTCAAATGTAAGAAAATTCTAATATACATTATAAGAGATATTAAATAAACCAATTGTTATATCTACTTCTAAATTCAGCAGATAAAAAAAAAAATTGTGTTTCTACAACTCAAATGTTTAAAACAAGTTCAAAAAGAAAGTTAGTGATAATGTTTGTTGTTGTTGTTTTTATCATAGTTTGTTTGTGTTAGTGCGAAATCACGTATTGGGCTATCTGCACTCTGTCCACTATGGGACTAGAACCCTGTTTTTTGCATTGTAAGTCTGTAAATTTACCTCTGACCCAACAGGGAACATTAGTAACAACAGCACTGGTGGTTTAAAACCATTCTAAATAGCTAATTAAAACAAAATAGATAATTAATAATACTTAACAGGCCTATGTAAGACATAAAGCAAGTGTATGTAACTAACATAAACCTAAATCATGAGTTGCTAATATAACTGAATTGATATCTAACTGAAATACTTGTGTATCTAAGCAACATACATATATTTTCACTACTACTAAACTACTGAACATAACTGAAATACTTGTGTATCTAAGCAACATACATATATTTTCACTACTACTAAACTGCAGTACTAAAAAAATTATAACAACTATATTGATTAACCTTCAAAATAATACAATACGGTTTGTGTTAGAAAACATTACGTAAATGTGTCTAACATGTGTCTAACAAAACCAGAGGAACTAAGAATACACATAACATGATGAAAATACAGATTAAAACTACAGTGTCAAAATAATGCAATATCAAATATATTTACATTGTGGTATATAATACTAACTCCTGGAACTTAAAAATAATAGAGCAAATACTCAGAAATATGGCCTGGGCCTTTTTCTGAAACCACCACTCATAATCTAATGAACAGAAAACTCAATTCCCTAAATGGATGGATGTACCCAAATGCCCATATGTTAATGCCTTCCCTACTTATGTTAACAAATTTTAATTCTTCACCAAACTGTTACATAAGTACTACACATAGATTCAACTGAAAATTGAAGATTGCATTTTGTTCAGGCATCATATGAAACTGTCAAAGCTACATAATTATTAGCAAAACTAACTTTTGATCTGTAATTTAAGTGTATGTATCCATGAACACATGTGGACTTCCTATAGGACTGGTCACCCTTTATCATCTCCCTGCACCCCCAAATAATTGGTCACAAAATCTCCTCAGCTAACTTTAAAGTTTTTAGCTATGTGCCTAGCTTAAATAATAACTTCAGTTAAGACTGTTTTAACTCTTTCCACATAGATACCCTTTTCTGCATGTCACGAGGTTTTACTGAGTTATGTTCAAAATTTAATTAAACTACTTTATTTTCATGATATATGAATAATATTGTTATTACTCAGGCAAAGCATAATATTATAGCCTTCAATCTTATTTCGTTTCAGAGCCATAAACTAATAAATCAGACTTGTCCACCTGTTACATCTTCTCTTTCACAAATTCTTAATAGTCCTCTCTGATACTTTAATACTATATTATTTATAGCCAATACAAAGCCAAGGTTTTAATCTATCAAATGGCATGTTATATTACAATGTTTTCTGTACAGAGAATTTTCTATTTCTCTTCCAGTTCCCAATGAAAACACGTCGATGAGATTAGCTGGATTTTTAATGGCTCTTATTCCATAGTTAGAAAGCCAGACAAATTATTACATATTATTATTCTGTATTCTTAGGAACTTTATTTAATTCAATAAAAATTATTTAATGTAGTAGTACCATTAGTATAAAAAAGCAGGGTCAAATTTCATTGACAATCAACAGCAAAAAAAGGAGTCTCAGGTAAGAATTATATGTCTTTCTTTTCATGTGTATTCTTTATTTATTATAAAAGTAACTAAAATTTAAAAAAAAAATAAACTTTTTAGGTTAGATTAGTTAAAATAAAGAAAATTAACAATTATTAGAAAACATTTTCAGAAGATATGCTTGTGAGTACCCCATGCATTACATAATTCGATAGGGTAGTATGAGCTAAATGTTCACTGAGTCAGTTACAACTTGTATGGCAAAATTATTAGTTAGGTATGGTTAAAAAGACAATAAAACAACAAAATTTCATTTGAAATATGTGGATACTGTTATGAGCTTTAAGCAAATGTAGTTTCATGTTACAATCTGAAGTCATTTTAGAAAGAAAAAAAAAGAGTAATTTAGATTTATTTCATATTTTTTATGGTGGTTACGAGGTCAGTCAAATTGACCCACCACGTATAGATAGGGTAGAGAAAATAGCAGATAAAATATAAAGTTTACTGAAAACAAATGTTTCAAATGTATTTAGGAGGTTTTAGATATTATGCAAATGAAATTTGACAATTTTAAGATGAAGAAAAGTATTTTTTATCTTAACATAAAAAATCACCTTGCACTCAAAGTAGTCAACACTTTGACTCCATATGTTCACAGAGAAAGTTTTAGTGAAAATACTTCATAACAAACTAGGGAAAGTTTGCAAAATTTTGTAAAGATACACAAAACATATTATAAGTTACAGTATTGAAACTCTAAAGGTCAGTTTGGGGTCGCGAACTCGGGCCAACTAAACCAAGCCCATGGCGAGAAAATTAATTATTTCCTTTGAGTTATATATATATATATATTTACTGGTTTTTATATTCTCCCTCCACTTTAAGTCTCAAAATTGCCCTTTAAAATGTCTATTGTAGCACATAAGCTTCAACTTAATATTCAGGATATTAGTTGTTAGTCTTTGTTTACTGTAGTTATATGTTGAAGAAGGAACATGTATATTTTGATATGTTCATTAAATATGTTGTTATTTATCACTTCTGATTTTGTATTGTTCATCATCCGAGCAAATATACTCGCAAAATTCAATTTTATACACTTTAAAATTTCAGTAAACTTTTTTGTGTTTTTAATAAGATAAATTCAGATTTGTATTCAAGCTTTCATCTTTATTTGTCTCATAAATTGAGTCTGAATATAATGGTTAAGCCATGTGCAAGTTTTTTTATTAAACTCCTTATTAAATCGAAGCTAAAATGGCAAAATAATGCAAGTTCACTTACAAAAACAAGTGCCTGAAGTGGACGACTCTGTAACAATTCCCTTAAAAAAATTTTGTCCTCTTCTCGGCCTTGAACCTGGTCACTAAGCTGTTCTAATAATGACAGCAACCTTTGTATAGCTAAAAAAAAGTCAGTGAAGTGAATGTACGGCTTGTTTTTCAATTTCATCTTTCTACTGTTTGAACAAGCAGAAAAATATGAGTTAATTCTGGAACATGCATACTAATGGAATAATAATTTTATAAAAAGATAAAATGACCCTCAATTATAAATTGTAAGACTACATAAAAATCACATATTTAGAACAAACTGAATATAAGAATTAAGTAGAGGGAAAAAAAAAGAGAAATCTTGTAATTAATGCTTTGATATTAAAAAACTAAATAGTACTACATTAACAGCTGATTCCTGAATGTTAAAGGGGATTTTCAACAAAATAGCGCTTTATGGACACATCAGTTAAATGACCAGGTCAGATTTACTTAGCCAGAAATATCCCTAACCCTAATTTCAAACTACTGGCCAGGTAACCGGAACACAGTATCAACCAACTGAACAACCACTCTCAACCAAAAAACAAGATTGACTGCACAGTTAGAATGCATCCACAGTCGAAAGCATTTTCAGTGCCATATCATGGCTCAAACCTTGGACCTTCTGATCTACAGCTAGGTTAAACACTAGGCCACACCTAGTTGTTTGGCTACTTTTGGACTTTCTATGTTTTTAAATAAGCTCATACACCATGAGCAAATTCATATCAGAGCATTTTGTATGCTAAGCTATAACTGTCAGCATTCCAGTAACCATATTAATCATATTTTCTGCTTGCTTTGGATCACAGTCTTATTACAAGATGAGTCCTCACCCAATGAATCAAATTCCTGCAGGAATGGCATGATGGGTCAAAATCTGCTGTAATTTGACAGCAATCAGGGTACCATCAGTATTGTGTAAACCAATGATGTATTAAATTGCAAATACTACTTATCTCCCTCTCCCACACAACATATATATATATATATATGTATATAATATACACAAAATTTGGAATTTTTCTAACTTCTAAACTGGAACAGTACTATCTAGTCGTGGTCTGGTGCTAAATTCAGACTGAGGTGTTTGTTACTTTCTGTAAACTGTGCAGTCAAGGAACTTATCTACTGTTTCACAAGATTTCAGCTCTGTCTTGTGTATAGTGGACCACTTTGTGAATGTCACACAGAGCAGAGATATTTCTGTATTCCAGTGCCTATTGTCTGGTTGGTCAGTTACAGAAAGAATGTATATTGTGAAAGCAGTTTTAGCAATTTCACATCAGACTCAGGGTCGAAAATTAAAATTTTCCTACTCTGAAAACACATTTCTGATAGATACTTACCTCCAATCACATAATAGCTTTTCTCATTCATCACTGCCCTTCTATATGCACAGATATTTTGCTCGTCCACAAGCCTTGATACACCCACATACCCCATGTGTTTAATGTGGTACAGTTGCACTGTAGCATACAAATAATCATGCAACAACCCTCCATGAATGGGAGTGCAACACGCTCTCCTGTCACATCTGGCTCCATCTAAACTGTAAAACCCAACCTTCACTTCAAGATTAGACAAAAAAAAAAAAGCACTGCAAGTGTGGAGGTAGGGTGGGAAGTGTGAAAAAAGGTAAGTATCTATTGGAAATATATTTTCAGTATAGAAAAATGTTAACTTCCAATACAATACTTTCCCTCTTCTCTCATGACAGCTTGATCAATATTGATATGATGGAAAGACTGGTGCAAAATTTACCTAGATGAACATCCTTCAGAAAGTGTCTGAAGAATGCCCATGGAGTGTGACATTTCTTGATAGAGGAACACACCTGTGGAAGACTGCACCACATCTGAATCAGGTATACTTTTTGTCCGTTGTGAAAATATGTCACTAATTTGGGCCAAAAAGGAGCATATCAAATACTCAGTTGAATGTGCTAAATGGTGTAGAGTGGCTAGGATGCATCAGACCGTAATCCTTGGGTCAACTCCAGGTGGCATCGATTATTTATTTTCCAGTTCATGGTAGGAGGAGGGTTCCTACCATTTTCACCTCAAGAAAAGGAAACAGAAGGGAAAACAGGTTCTGTTCTGCCATCTTAGTCAGGGAACATGTGTGCACATCTAATATGCAATCAACACCAGGCCACCTGGGAACCTGACATCTGGAAGATGATAGAAAAAGGAAATGCAATTTGGTGGTTCACTCAAATCCAAAACCTGGTAGCCTTGTGAATTTATCATCTGGTCTGCAGTAGGATGAGGGCTCCCTAACAACCACAGGTTTGAGGACTTACGTTGGCTAGTCCAGCTCTAATCCAACAGCAGACCACCCAGGAACTGACATCCAGGCAGCAGTAGGATGAGGGTTCCAAGCCAGAAGGTGAACTGCATTTAAGTGGATTATCCCCAGTCCATAATCAGACAGTGTCGGGTATTTTTCTTCCAGTCACAGTAGGATGAGGGTTCACACCAACAGAACACTGAGCATGTTCAGGAGGATGTCTCCATGGTCCACCACCCTAGGAGCTTGTAAGAGGTAAGGACTCCCATACTCCACTTGAAGAGGGGAGGATAATGAAGTGGGGAGTCTGGAGGAATGCGACACTGGAGAAAGTGCAATGGGAGACCATGAAACTTTATTTTTTAAAAGGAGGTCAGTCCCAACTTATCCAACCAGAATAGAGTGCAGATTTATGAATTAGTATACCTGGACAGGCACCACTGACCACAGAGTAAAATTGTGCCACTGTAAAGAAATATAAAAACACCTACCTACTACAGTTGAACCTAGTTGTGGAGGATGACAACAGGCAGTATTCAGGTTCCCAATGGTGAGGAGATGGTCATATGATAGAGTTAATGTGAGATAAAGGTGTGTGCTGTTGTCCACACACCAGTCTGGATTACCTCGCTGAATGGGCAATGGAAGTGGGCAGCCAGGGAGAGGGTGAGGTGCTGAATCTGATGTAAATATACTGGAAAAAGACAATGGGAGACAGAAGACAAGGAAGTGCAAGCCAAACCCAACACCAAAAACTGGCAAATTAAAAATATCTCAGGTAGAGGGAGGGTTCCAATGGATAAAGTGGTAAGAATGAGAATCACGGAAAGAAGTCATTTAGGCAATATAGCAAAGGAGAGCACAGACAGGACAAAGACAACGACCCAGATTGGAATGGTGATAGAAATGGAAGGGAGAGAAATAGTTGTAAATGTGGTATCACATTCCAGAGCTGCCAACATAGGAGAAACATAAGTGCAGTGGTAAAGGATATGTGAAACATTGAGGGCAAAAAAAACATCCAACTTAACAGATGTGTCATGAGGGAGGAAGAAGGATAACCGAGTCCAATAAATCCTGAACAAGATTCCATTTATCATGCAATACCCACTAAAAGGCATGCAAGTGAGCATGACCCCAGGGAATGCGAGCTTTCATGGAAGCCCAAGTCCTCAAAAGAAAGAACCTTGCATGTGGTAAGAGGAAGGAGAGGATTGAGAGATCAGAATCAAGACCTCCATCAATCTTAACGGAAGAGGATAACGCTGGGCCCAACTGTGATAGGAGTTAAAGAACCATCTCAAGTGGATGATGTAGCATCCTTGAGAAGAATAGTCTGAAATATCTTGGAGAGATGCTGGCAGAGGAACCAAGGATGTAGCCAAGAAAAATAAGCACATCAACGTGGAATACATGAGGTAGCAAGAATCCTCCAACAACCCCTCAGGAGAGCTGTGGATAGCCACAAATATGAGATGGATAGAAAAGAGTTAATGCAGGAGGTTGATTAGGATCAAAGAAGATGGGAAATTTGGACCTTGGAAATACTTTACAGTAGGGGACAGATCCCCACATAGGAATCAAAAACTTCAAGGTCTGAGAGTCCATAAGCAGAAAATCTAAATGATGGTACACTAATTCATAAGTATCTCAGGAATGAGGGGTACAATAGTGCAATAAACAAATCTGCATGTACCCTGACCTTTGGAGAAGGTAAAAAAACTAGTTGATCTGAGGAAAGAGCAGAATTTAAGATGGAAGGAGAGGAATCATTAGACAGACAAGGGATATAGACAAAAGGTAACATACCTGTGACACCATATCTAGGTAGGCTAAAAATAGACTGGGAGCTTAAATAGTAAGAATTTTGGAATTCCATGGAAAAGGAAAGAGGAAGAAACAGACTATCCAAATAAGCATCTTCCTGAAGAGGTTTCTCAGAAAAAGGAAAATCTGGTCTGCAATCAGGAGATGCAGCAGACCACATAATAGACCACATTGTACAAAAAAAAACGATATCTCTTCAGCAGAAAGCATGAAGCTGAAGACTATGAAATTACAGGTTGAAATGCAGTGGCAGTATGAACAACAGTAGTAGTTATTGTGAATTGAAATTCTGCAAGTAAAATTCAACTGAGAGTGGATCATGAAATATCAACCTATAATATTGAGTTTCACTGTAAAAACAAATACAAATTGTTGAGAAAAAGTAGAAACAACTGAGAAAGTTGTTTAACAAGTTAAACTGTTAATGCAAAATACTAAACAAACGTGATCAAAATTTTGAAACATTTGCACTCTACTGTGCCAAATCAAGAAGTGAAGACTGGGTTCTACAGCATAGAGGGAACCAGTTGTGAAAGAAGTGTATGTCATGCTCCTATTAGTGGAGGGTTGTCTTAGGATTATTTGCATGCTACAATGCAGGCGTACCATATTAAACATGCGGAAGAGGTGGGAGTATGAAGGCTAGTGGCAAGTGAAAAATTTTTGCATATACAGGGCAGCATTGAATGAGAAAAGCTATTATGTAAAAGGAGGTAAGGTGTCGTATATGAATATTATTTTCCCATATACCCATCAGCGATTCAACTCATAAACATTTACTCGCTACCACTAAAATCTACCCTCTGCATACAGTACATAAGAAAAACCTTGCACAGTTTATTTAAAATAAATTAATTTGACTCACAACAGTTACCTTCGGACTAGCTTAATTAAAAACTTGCTTCTAAGAACAAAAAAATGAAAACTATCAACAGCATGGACAACAACAGCTAATACATTCTCATGAAATTAAAATGTATCCTTGACTATGTGTACACTTACAGACTAGCATTGTATTTAATGCAAACACAATCCCCCAATATACTTTCCTTATTTCTCACTTGTCTCAATCACTGAACTATTACAAAGCAAGTGTAGACTCTGTAATGACAATCAACTTAGTGCAAATAATCAATTTAATGTGAGCTTACCAACAAATTTAAAATAAAAAAACTGTGCTATTCTTGATGTTAATTTCTCAAAAGTCAAAATTACTAAACATCTTAAAACATTTTGACCAAAATATGAATTGCTGATAATGAACATGCTTAGATAACTTTCCAAGTAAACTGAATTTTTGTATAATCACATTTTAGAAGACTTCCTACCTCGTTCACTACTGTTTCCATTCTGGTTTCCCCCCACTGCCATGGTAATTCTGTTTCTCCAACAACATTGATGTCAAACTTGTGTGATTTTCTTCTAAACAATAAGCAACAAATCAGTAACAATTTCAATGTCATAATTAAAATGCAAAAAACTTGATTTCAATTTTACTGAATACAGTTTCCTTTAGCTTTTCAAATTTTTTTGACATCACTTCCCCAAATTAATTTTTTTTGTCACTTTAAATTTTTTGAGACATATGTTCCAAGTCAATTTAATATGTTGACAAATGTTCATGCTTTATATATGTAGTATGTATAGGAGTTAGTATGTATATATATATTGCTGTAAGTACACAAAATTCAATCTTTTTAACCTAACAAACATTTATTTACATTAATTCAAGTTTTACAGTGTTAAAAAATTTTTAATTATTTGAATTACTGGTTCTATGATTCTTGTATGTACTTCAGTATAAACTCTGATGTAAAAATTCTGAAAAAGAATAGTCTATTTTCTCCCACTCGGTAACAATTAAAACATCAATGTGGATTTTCTTACAAGGCATTTCATCTTTTTCACCCAGAAAATCAGACAGTATTGAACTTTTTGAAGAGTTTGTGGTACATAGATTTTTACATTTGTAACCAATATTCATCAATCTGAATCAAGAACAAAACTAATTATTGTAAAAAGCTGGCAATCAACTTTACATCCTACAATGATGACAACACACTTTCAAGTTCATATTTTCCTGTGAGCACCTTTAACATGTTGAGAGTACACCTACATATTAAATTTCTAAATTCAAGCTAAAATTTTAAATCTATTTACATAGTTTTTAAACTCCCAAATATTTTAGAAACCATATTTTGTTATTTTGTATCACTTGTTTAGAGTAGTTTATGAAGAAAAATGGATTTTTCATTTCTGCGTAATTCAAATGAGATTGTCAGTTCATTTTATAAGGTGCTGTTTAAACCTCATTTGTATTATTATACTGTGTTTAGTTTTGGCCCCCTTATTTAAGAAAGAGCAATAACTATTTGGAGAGTATTAAAAGAAGAGAATTATTCCAGATTTGGGAAGATTATTATATGAAAGACAGAAACCTCTTGATATTTTTTAGTAAAGCAAACACCTTAATGGGGACATACTTGAAAGTTTAAGATCATTAGAGGCTTGAAATCCACAAATCCAAATAATGTTTCTACAAAAAACTATGCAGACAATAGTAGAAAGCCAAACCTTAAGATATGAAAATCTCAGACATGACTACAGTTAAGGCAGTGTTGTTCCTTTTCTGATAGGGTGGTCAGCCTATGGAATAGTTTGCCTTCAAGTGTGGTCGAACCTGCAACAGTGAAGGAGTTAAAGAAGAGACTAGATATGCATTTTAGAGATGAGAACTGGATACATGAGTGACAGAGAAAAATTGGACAACCTATATGAACAAACTGTTATCTCTTGAAATTAGAAATAATACTTTAATTGTATTTTATGAGCTAACCAACTGGCACTGTACAGAATACACTCCACAACAGATGCTTTCATTCAAACTCCAGAAGGCTTAAACTATTTTTAATTCTGATATCACTTTTGTTTCTTTCTTCTTTTTTTTCTTGTTTTATAAGTCTACAATTCAGAACAAAAATTATGAGGAGTACAAGTTACAAAAGTGTTTGCTAGTGGAATTCAAGATCTGGATGTCCTATTCACAAATTTTTATCATTTGTCTTATTTATGTAAAACAATATACATAAAAGAAGACCCCTTAACAGACTTTAATCTCAACTTTGGGCCAGATGAAGATTATAATGGGTAATGTCAAGATATTCATTATATGTTGTTACCGGTACTGGTAGTAACTGTAGTACTGTTCTCGTGGTGCATCAAAATTCAGACAATGGATTCACTATTTAAGTTTTGATTTATAAATTTTTATTTAAGATGGCTCAAGTAACCCAGATAAACAAAACTTTAAAACTACACAGTTCCATTGCTCCAACAGGTGGAATGAGATCTGCATAAAGAACTCCAATTCCTAAGCTTTTTTTTTGTTACAATTACATTCATATCCAAAAATTTTTGGATAACACAGAAAGAAATGTATGGCACACTAACATTTCTTGTATACTATAGAACATAAGTGGTTTAATTAATTTTAAGTAAAAATGAATTTAATCATCTACATTCTACAACATATCATTATCAAATTGGAAACTCTGGCACCAAAGTACATATGATATCTATGACTTAGGTAAAGAAAACAAAACAACGCTAAAAATTAGTAATAAAAATATTTGTGTACAGGTTTGTCTATAGTATACGTTTGAAGGAAAGAAGCAAGTGCAAAGTAGTGACCCTAACTTTGTAAGCAAATAACTGGTAACTTGACCATCTATGGCCTACACGCCGACTAGACAGTGGTACTACTACTACAACAGTACAAGTAACATGATTAACGTTACTAACAGTTACAAGTTATGACGTTATGTTACTGCACTTAGTAATACTAATACGTGATAGCAATTCTAATATTTGTGTTGGTTGTACATCGGAGAAAAAAAAATCATAATTAACAGTGATAATATAACAGCATACTTAACTGTAACACAACATTTCATACCTCAATATTTACTATTCAGGTCGACACCACGCTACAAAAATATAAACTACCCCAATGAGTTAACCAACCCTATCATTTACAGTTTGAGTTTATCCCACAAAAGCTTGGCTGTGACAGAAAACGCCCTCTGAAAAACGTAATTTAGGACTTATTCGTTATTAATTATACAGTGTTTCTATACTTTGTATAATCACTTTCGTGTTTTTCTTTATGATTAGATTACGTTTTCCGAAAAATGAATCGATTATTGAGAAAATAAATTAATAACCCTGAAACAAGTCGTGAAACTACCATTGTTTATTCAAAACTCTGGTATTTTCTTTTTATTTCGAACATTTTCTATATTTTACTACGAGTAAAACATATTTAGTTAATTTTTATCATTATATAGGGAAAGATGAATTTTAAAACTTATGAAAATTACAAAGTAGCATACACAAATTAGAGTGCGGCGTTTTTCGGATGTTGAGCTTACCTCAGTGTCTTGTCCAACAGGTTCAGAGTGACACACCAGAAAGAAATATCCAGAGCAAAGTTCCAGATCAGGGTACAGGGGGGAACATGATACCTTAACTCAGGGATTCTCAACTTTTCCTCCATCATTCACCCCCTCGGCTTGATGTATTTCTCCATTTACCCCTTTACTTCCATACAAAAAATTCATAGCCATCATAAAGGGACAGAAAAACAAAAAGGTCAGAAAAAAATATATTATTCAGGTTTTGAACAAAAATAGCAATATACATTCGTATCACCAAAAATAAAGAAAATAAAACATTCTTTTTTAAAGAAAAAATTATACAGTCCATTTTTATCATAAAAAATAAAACCAAACAGAAACACCAGAAACATTATCAGTGGGAACACTGCTGATTCACTGAGTCAATCAGTTTGTTTATGCGAGGAGCTGTTGATGACAATGCTACTCTCATATCGTCATCGGCTTTCAATCGGTTCCTGGCCTTTGTCTTCATTGCTACTAAACCCCCTGCCATGTAATTTTTTTACCCCAAAGGGTAAATTTACCCCTGGTTGAGAATTACTGCCTTAACTATACTTGTGAAGTCCCCTGGTGGAACAGTGGTAAGTCTGTGGACTCAATTGCCCATGGTGGACACAGCAGATAGTCCAGTGTGGCTTTGCTCGAAAAAACAAACAAAACTTGTGAAAATTTTGAAAAGGCTCCCTTAATTAATTTACCCATATGCTCCACATGACATGATGGATTAGTTAGCACATGACCAATTTCTAGATGCCACAACAGGTGAGTATATGAGAATTAGAATGAAGCAGAGTAGGTGTACATCTTTAAAGGAAGCTCTCCAGTTGATGATGGAACTTGAATCCATTTATTTCGCACATAACTATTGATACGACAGCGGAGGTAACGTGACGCTAGTAACACGTCATGCGCTTCTAGAACGTTCATGAAATCTCGAGAGGCTACTAGATA